CGGATGGCAAGGGCCGAGCTGCGCGGTGACAGCGCGGTGACACCGCGGGGACCCCGCCGGGGCGGGACCGGGGCGGGGCGGCAGGTGGCACCCCGCGGCCACTCCCGTTTCCCGGCCGACAGGAGAGGGAGCTTGGGGAGTGGGGCTCAGCAACAGCCCCCACCGTGCCTCAGCGATTAGCGACCCAGGGGTTTTAGACTGGAGGGGCAAGCGCACCCCGGCTGCCCAGGGAGGCTCCTCTCTGCCTTCCCAGCCTGCCTCCCTATTTACATCCATCTTTTATAAAGTTATTCCGCAGGGGTTTTTTTGTTTTGTTTTTTATTTCAAAGAAAGTAACTGCACGGAGAGTTTTATTCGGTTTATCGTTATCTTTGTTCTCCATCAGTTCTCGGTCTGGCTCCCAGGATGTCCCCAACTATACTGCCCATATTGGGTTCAGGTGCAGAGCAGCCCTTTAACTGGAGTGTAGGACATGACTCCTGGTGACAAAGGTGTTGGCTCTCATCCCTCCCCCCTGCAAATAATGCTTTTGTTTGCTTCATGTGAGATAGCTGGATAAAGCTGAAAAAAGCACAGAATAAAGGATAGGGCCATCTATCACTTTTTGGATAATGTCCACCAAGCCTTGATTTGAATCTCTGCAAAAAGTCAAGAGGAAGCATTGCGGTCCTGCCCAGAAAAAACTATTATCTAGGGATCCCCTTACTATAAACTCTTTCAAGGCCAACCACTAATGCATGGCAACCCAAGTAAGCACCTCAGGTCTCATTATACAGAAAAATCTTGTGTGTGATTCAATGAATTGTGAAGCAATGAATTCCACACAAGCTGCATAGAAGCTGGTATTACAAGAAGTAATTGGGATTTTGAGAAAACTGGATAAAAAATGCAGTATTAATAGTAGCAAAAAGAAACAGACCTCTGCAGCATTTACAGTTCTTTTAGTATTCCAAAATCAGAAAGTGCAAAAAAACATGCCTGAGTCAGGAAAGCTGTTTCAGTTTTTTCTTTGGTATACTACATTCCTTATAAAAGGACTAGAACCAGGTGAAGGGGAATAAGCTCAGGATCTCCTGTAGTGATGGCTCTCACCCCATAAACACCCTAAAAGGACATCTGCTGCAATACTGTTCCATACTGTTCAACTGCTGATCTAGTTATTATCCAAAACCGCATACATACACAGGATGTTCAGCAATACCTGGAACAGGCTGCCAAAGACTGATTTCAGTTCCAGGCAATGGATCAAGGATGAAAGTACAGAAAAAACGCCCACAGAGCAAGTGGGATGGTTCTTTTGTCAGCAAGAACCTGGAGAGCTCTGCAGCCAGGCACAGGAGGGGTTGGACATGGCAGGTGCTGCGCTTGTCTAAGCAGCTCTGTAACTCCTGCCAAGCCCAAAATCAAGGCCACAGAAGAGGGTTCAGACACAGCTGAAAGAGACAATTAGTGCAAAAGGAGTCATCTTGTTCCAGGGAAATGTAAATTTATTGTGTCTTTATTATATGTTTATTTATAATGCTGCCAAGACACCTCCTCCTTAGGGACAGCAAAATCTACCACAGAACAAAATGCTGCGAGTTTTGTTGTGCCGGATGAAGAAGAGGAAGGGATGATCTGCAGTGAATTCAGGAACTATCATTGCACAGCACGCAACGGCCACAAGCCCAGTGGCAGCAGCTGCTTCTGTACCTTCTTCATTGACTTCCACAAAGGACTTGTGAACCACTTCAGAGAGCACCAGCTGGTCGCCAGATGAAATTCCTGAAAAGTCTGCCTTCCCTGAATCAAATGCATCCAGCATTCCCATACTTCTTAAAATAGGTTTAAGATCGTAATCTTCTTCCAATTTAAATCTTGGTAAAGACACCTGCACGTTTGTAGACTCCATCATTTTAGGACTGATCCAAACCATCAGCTTCTCATATGTGAGTTCTCTTTCCAGCTGAGAGAAAAATCCAAATTTGCTTAATCACACTGAGAATTGAGTCAATGTTACATAGACAAAGTAGTGATTTCTATGTGTTTCTTCACATAGCACAAAACACGCATCCTTTTTTCCCCTGGGTTACACATGAAGACAGGATTTTCATTTTTAATATGGCAACAAAAAACTTGAGATACTTTAGTAATAAACATCTTGTCCAGAGTGCCAAGGAGCCCAAACTTGTAACCTACCCTCACCATAAAAGACATCCTCCCCTTTCTTGTGAGCCACACTCCACCTGCCAGCTGCTCAGCACAGGAGATCTACAGAACAAGCCACAGGACTGGCAAAGAACCCACCCAAAATCCCCCTCTCCACATTCCAGAAACACCACACTGTGCCTTCACCACAGACACAGCTGACCTCTGCTCCTGAGCAGGGCCAGCTCTTCTTCCAGAGCCTCTGGCTACAGGAGCAGCACACAGCCTGAGCAGCACTGACATAGGGGGGCAGTCACTTTGGGGACAAGGAGCAGAGGGACATTTCACCTGGCCTGGAGAACCAGCAACACAAGTGCTCTGGAACTGAACTGCATGTCTCCGTGCAATTCAGACTCTCTTCCCTGCAAGGATTTAGCCTGTCTTTGCACTCAGCTCAACTACTTACTTTTTCCAAGCCTGTGGATCCATCCTGGATTGAATCAGGGAGCAGGATGATCATGCTCAGCTCATTACCCACATACGGGAGCTCAAGGATTTTGGTCTGGAAGTCCCCAATGTAGGTCATGTTAAAACGTGCCGTCTTGAACATCATCTGCACAGGTCTGGTCTCATTCTAGAAATCCAGAGATGCCAACAGTTAGTGCACAACTACTCTGCTGGTCTCAAACTATGAAGCAGGCAGACAGTTACTCAGGGCCTTTTAGGATTTCACCAAAGAGAACTGATCACACACCAAAAAGTGCAGCCCAACCACAGTCTTTTGTAAAGCACAATGTAAATACAATGCATAATATAGTCCAAAACAACTCCAAAGGAGATTATTCATTAACCCTACATCCTGTTGATGTGCATCTTGAAACCTGGTTCTAAGCTTGCACAGCTGCAGGGCTAGAAAATTGAACAGTGTCTCTGGATACTCCTGCCAGCTTTTTCAACACATTCCACCAGGGAGAGAGCAAAGTGTCAGGAACCGAGTCAGCCCAGCAGTCTCTGAAGTGCTGTCAGATGAAGTCTGGGGTAAGCAGAAACCGCCCCTTATATAAGAGTTATAGTAACACTTTCCAATATATTTGGATTTATTTCACCACTGAGGGGGAGGGACAGTTGCAACACAGGCATGAGGGCTTCAATCTTCCACAATGCTTGCTTCAAAAGCCAGGCAGTTAAGGAAGGCACATGACCAGTTCTTGCTCAGGACACCTGGAGACCAACACAGAGCTGCAGGGGATCCTGAGGGGCAGCCATGGCCTGCCCATGCCAGGGGCCAAGTCTTCCTCAAGAGCACTGATCGACTTCTGAAAACAAGTCTTGAAAGGAAATTTGTTTGCCATTCCTTTTGCATTGGCTCAGGGGCAGAAATGCAACAGGAAAGCTCTGACTGAAGAAGACTTCAGTTCACAAGCTTTCACACCTGTCATTTTGCTATAGGGAAGGTTCTAGGAATGATGTGAAAGTTCAGAGAAACTCAGCAAAAAGAGTGCTCTTATGAAAGGGAGAGAGCATCAGGGATTTCCTACAGCCTACCCAAGGGAACCCTGCTTGAAAGATTTAATTTCTTCTTAAAGGTGATCATTTCAGACAACATCCACCTAACACTGCATGGTCAGCATTTTAGCACATCATACCTTATTAATTCGGAATGGCCTTTCACTGGTACTCAGTTTATCAAATTGCTCTTCCCAGTTGCCTTTGAAATAGATGGCATTCACCAACACAAGTCTGGTCAAGGAATTCAGAATCCCCTCAGCCAACAGGTTCTGAATTTTACCTTTATGATATAAGGGAAAAAACCACATTACTTAATACCTTGACATGGATCTAATTATTAGCCAAGATAGGATCTCACCTGCATTTAATACACAATAGAGAATTATGTACCAGACACAGCAAAACATCAGCATTTTAATTCTTTGAATTCACAACCCTACATCCTGAAGCAGGTGTTTTCCTAAACCATGGCTGCCATTAAACAAAACTGGACACTTGGCAAAGCGCTCACCTTCAGTCTTTTCCTCTACCCAGCCATTGATTTGCCTCCTGGAATCCTCCCAAGCATGCAGGAAGTCCATCTGCTCCAGGCCAGCATGGTAGGATTTCTGGCTCAACTCTGTAAAAGACTAACAGGGACATTCACAACAGATTTTCAGCAAGAGATTTTCTCTCATTCAGCCACAGGTGATCCTTACATTCTCCAAGGAAATCTGCCTGCTTTCCTTCACCTGCTTCATACAGAGTCATGAAAGTTCTGGCTGAGGACTGACTTCTAGCTGACAAGTTCCTGCTAGGATTTATACCACTTCTTTGAACTAGGAATCAGTATCATTGTTGTGGGGGATTTTTCTTCGTTTTATTTTCTGCTTCTGATAATTTTGTAAGTTTCTCTATAATACTTTTGCTTAGAGGTATATCAACCATTCATCCCACAGCCAAACATATTAATGGATCACAGAACCCTCAAGTGTACAAACTGATGGATTTCACCCTGCTTGGCATCACTTGTCCACTCAGAACACAAATTATTTCAAAGAGATGCTCCACCAAGTTCAGACACCGGGCTTTGCCAGAATCAATTGCACTCCTGGCTCTCAGCACAGAAGATTTGGAAGGCAAGCCCCAAAGCCTGCCTTTGACCTCCAGAGGAAACAGGTTGCAAGTGCATTATACTAAGACTCATAACAAATTTAATGGCTACTTACTGGAAGAAGCTCCAAGGTCTTTTCTCCGTACAGCCGGTTTGCAGTTCTCAGGATGTACTTGCTGTTGGGATCATTAATTTTGGACAGAAGGAATTGATACCCATTGTGAGCATCCTTGACGCTGCTCAGAGAAAGCACCTGCACAAAGACCAACATTCACAGCAGTGCTCATACCTTCTCTAAACACACTTGCTTCAGCAAGATGGCTTTTATAGTAAAATTACGCTTAACTTAAATACTGCCACTTGAAATCAAAAGATTTTTTTAACCAGACCTCCCATCTGGAGATATTCATGCAAGGCATATCCAATGTACCCAACAAGATGTTGCACAAGTCATACATTAGGGAGCAGCAGAGTCAGCAGTCCTGATTTCCTTCCCTCAAGCCAAGTGCTACAGGATCACAGAATAACTCAGGGAGGAAGAGAGCTGTAGGGACAAAGCCCTGCCCAAGCTGGGACACCTACAGCTGGCAGCTCAAACTGTGTCCAGATGCATTTTCAGTATCTCCAACTATGACTGTGTCCAGATGCATTTTCAGTATCTCCAACTATGACAACAACAGAACTTTTTGAGAAACTTCTATGAAGTACATGGAAACAAAACAGGAGTTTATACTCCACTCCCACATCGCAAAGGAAGCAAACATCCAAATCATAATGACTGGCTCTGCATTTAATACTCTCACTTCGCACATAAAACAGATGCTAAGAGATGTATACTACCAAAGCAAAATTTGATAAAGGAATAAATCATGTTGCTATTACCAGTTGGAAATGTAGGTAGACAGTGGGCTTTTAAAAACATTTTTATGTGCCTGGCTTCATTTGCAGAACATGTATTGTATGATATTAAGCCCAAGCAAGGAAGGAAAGGAAAATAATTGATGTAGCCACCAACTGATCAATAAAAAACTCCACAAACCTCCTAATTACATGTTAAAGAAAATAAATCACAAAAACCTCAAAAAAACCACCCACAAACTAAACCCAGGAATCACTGCACTTCATACTGAACAGAGCTCACACTACAAAAACAAAGAAAATGGGTTCTCTTGACACACACACACACACCAGACAAAGCGCTCTGCTCTCCCACACCACAGTGACAATCACAGTTGAGCACAAGTCCATGTCACAGACTCTTCCTCATATGCTCCCCTCTAATGCAAAGCACCAAGTTTATTTTGACCTACCTTGCTTATTTGGGCTTCTGTGCTACCTTTTGAACCCAGCAAAACCATGGACAAAGCAGAAGAAATACTAAAGGGCGAAAAGAACACGTTCTGCCCACTTTTCTTCTCACACAGCATCCTTAACAGGTCCACTGCAAAAGTGGTGTTGGCTGCACAGAGGCTTTCCATGCTTCCTAGCCTGGGACATAAAACACAGAATGAGAATAGATCAAATTTACTTGGCTACCAAACAGTTACAAGAATTGTCTTGTTTCCAAGAATTGTCACTGCAACATTCTCATACCAAAAAATAAAAAAAAAATTCCCCAACCAAACCGAAAAAACACTCAACAGGAATTCCAAACAAACAAACTAATAACCCAAACCACACCAATCACGTATCAGATACTACATAATAGGATGTTTCTTGCCCACATCATTAATAAAGTTACAGATTACTCCAAGTTAATGACATTATATTTAAAAAAAAAATAAATATATCTTTGCATTATAACACGAAGACGGAAGGATTTGTCCTGGCAAACCCACATCAAATTTCTTCAGAATCACGGACCCTGTACACTCCACACATTTCACTCACACAGCAGCTTTCCCCGCACCGCTGAAAGCAGAACCGACAGCTTTCCTGCTTCCTTGAAGGTCCAAATGCAAGCAGAGGAGGAGTCTGCATCAGAATTTACGCATTTCATGCACGGACCGCCCACAGAAATTCCAAACAGCGCGGTCAGCTCTGTCCGGAAGACACACAAGCGGCACGGCAGCTTTGCCTGTTCTCTTACCCAGCTCTACGCTAAAGAAAACACCGGCACCTCCCGACCCAACATCTAAAGCAATAGCCCGGGGCGCGCCTTCCCTCTCCTCTCCTCACGCCACCCGCGCAAGCCTTGCACCCAAACCCCTTCAGGGCCCGCAGCCCACGCTGCCCGAGAAGCGCTGCGGCTCCCGGAGCCGAGCCAAGATTCCCACCT